AGGAAAGGCGGTGGCTGAAGACGACACAGTTTCTCTGTCCCAGTGGGCAGAGTATGGCCCAAAGAGACGGGAGGGGAATCTCAGGCAAAGGGCTTGCACATGGAAGGACCACGTGAGTGGTGCTGGTGCCTTTGGGAAACTCAAAGTACAGAGACACCACCAGAGCGTAGGGTGTCGGAGAAGAGCTCTGGGCAAGACCACTTCTCATCCTCCTCTCGAAAGCCAACTACCTCCCTAAAGCCGCTCTGTCATTAAGACGCACAGATGACAGTATTTTAAAACTCTCAGTAGCGTTTGTAGTGAAAACATTTCTTTGATCTTCCCAACTGTACAGAGTAAGTTTTATTGTCCTTGGTTTATAGGTTGGGAATGTCTAGCTCTGGACGTCCCAAGGTCACATAGCCAGGAAGTGGCAGAGCTGGGACTCAAAGGGGATGATTGGAGAAAGCATGTGCTCTCTTTCCACAAAGTCACTTTGGCATCTGAGGAATCACGTGCTTCTTTTCTGTCCCCTGAAAAGTCTTCCTCCCAAAGATGAGAAGCTATATCTCCCTCTCCCATTGCCCACATCCACTTCCTCACCTGCATCTATCTCCCAAAAGCCCACTGGAATAAATCAGAACTCAGTTTGGCAAGTCTTCTAAGCTCCATTGTTTCAACGATAAAGCCGTCTCAGCCGTTCAGAGACTAACTCAAGGTCAAGGGTGGGAAAATCTGAAGCCCAAGAGGCCTGACTCAACCCACACTCTTCCATTGCAGCCTGGAAGAGCTAATTGCTCTGGGCCACTCAGCCCATTAAGGAGGGGAGGGGGGGCACTCCCAATGTGTTCTATGGCACTTCTGCCAGAAGGTGACCCTCCCCCAGGCTCAGGGGGCCAGGACAGGTCAAGCTGAGCCCACTTCCTCCATCACTCATCAACCCCAGTGTGGCCTCCTACCTTGGCCCAACTCCCTTTGCCTGCCCTACATAGCAATCCCCGAACCTTTGACTGTTCTTTATTTTATTCTTTCAGGCACAGGGCCCTGTGCAGTGGGTCCCAGACCTGGGGTGAGCTTAGACTGATGGACTGAGTGCCCTACCCTGTGCACACTCGATTCCTTCAGCCAAGACCACTCAGCTTCCTGGGCAGCTTTGAACCCCCCTGAAGTAAACCCACCTCCCTGTCCTGCTCCCCAACCCCCAGTACCTGAAGGCATGGATCCAAGTTCCAGGTCTTACAGCTCTTTAACTAGAGCGAGCCAGGGAGCATGCCTGGAAAGTGCAGGTAGGAAGAGAACTTACATCAGAGAGCTGCTGAGAGCACTGAGTCAGTTAACATATCTTAGGTGGTACCTGCCAGAATAATTGTTGGCCTTAACTGCTATATCCATATCCAAGCCCCCACCATCCCAGCTACCTTTTTTCTTTCCAGGTGGTGTAGTGGTTAAGCATTGGGCTACTAACTGCAAGGTCAGCAGTTCAACACTACCAGCCATCGCTTGGGAGAAAGACAGGCCTTTCTACTCTCTTAAGGAGGTACAGACTCAGAAACCCGCAAGGACAGTTCTGCCCTGCCCTATAGGGTCGCTCAGAGTCAACGTCGACTTGATGGCAGTGAGTTTGGTTCTCTATTAGATAAGAGCTCTGGGGAGTGGGGGTGCTGCGGGTTCAAAAAGCATTGGCCTACTAACTTCCAGGTTGGAGGTTCAAATCCACCAGCTGCTCTGTGGGAGAAAGATGAGGCTTGTCTGCCCTCATAAAGAGGTCGAGCCTCACAAGCCCTCTGTAGGTAGGTCGCTGTGCGTCAGAGTTGACTCAATGGCCGTGGGCTTGGGTTTGTTTGGTCCTCGATTAGAAGCGCCGTTTGAAGACAAATACCCTGTTGGGTTGGTTTCTGTCGCCACAGTGCAAGGTGGTCAAAGGCGAAAAAATGTGAGTCGAGGAAATGCGTGATGAAATGACAGCAGAGGGGTGGTGACAGCGGAGGGAAGGCACTGACGAGGGCCAAAGGGGCGGGGCCTGGTGTATCAGGCACAGAACCAAAGAGCTTCCCACTCCAGGGAAGAGTGACCGTCTTGGAAACTCACAGGGACAGGTCTACCCTGTCCTGTAGGGTCGCTCTGAGTCGGCATCCACTCGATGGCAGCGAGTTTGAGTTTTGGTTGTGCTGAGTGTGTGATCACACACTGAGTGTGTGATCCTTAGAAACCCACCCCTCCCCGCCCAACTGGGGTGCCTGAATGTCACGGTCTGTTCCATGGGAGCCCTAGCACCCAGTCTCAGTGTGAAGGAAGCCCAGGAGGTTGCTGGCCTGGAAGCGCTCAGTATCCTGTAGCAGATGTGCGGTGGTGTGGCTGTGTATGGGTGTGCCGCTGTGAAGCTCTCACTGCTGTGCTTCATTCACTGTGGCCAGAGAGCAAGGGCTTGACCAAGGTTGGCCACTGCTATTGACCAGGCCTAGGAAGAGCGCAGCGGTGTTTCTGGCAGGTCAAGCCCGAGGAGGCATGGACTGGCTCCTCTTCTCCAGTCTGCTCCAGGTGTAGTTTCGCCTCTGCCCCTGACAGTGAGCAGTGAGGGTTGATGGACACAGCAGGGTAACTCTCTTTTTGAAAAAATAGTTTTATTGGCATCTACTTCACATATCACACCACTTAATCACTCAATCATATTAAGATTTACGCAGTCATCACCACAATCAATTTCAGAACATTTTCTTCTGGTACTCTGTGTTGTGATTCTGGGCACAGCCAGGAGGGTGGGACCGGGCTGTCTTTGGAGGGATTGACCGGCTAAAGAAAGCTAAGCTTCGCTGAGCTGTTGATTCCTCTAATTAGCTCAAAGGGTGGATGGGGCTGGGAGGGCTGGAGCCTTTGTTGGGTGGTGCCAGGTGGAACAGGAGGGAGGTAGGGAAGGCCTATCCTTAGGCCGTGCTGGGGGTCAGGCTTATAGCTGGACCCCCGGTGGCCCCAACCAAAACCAACCCTCCGCCATTGAGTCGATGCCCCACAGAACACTAGACCTGCCCCTGTGGGTTTGCTAGACGGTCACTCTTCACAGTGTGGCAAGTCCTGCCTTTCTCCCTGGGTCCATCTGCCGACCTGTGGCTAGCAGCCCCACGTGTCACCACTGTGACACCAGGCTGCCAGAAACGACTAGCAAATGGAGAAAGAAAACTTGCCCCGGGCGAGGTCTCTCAGCCTGTAGGTGCAAGCTCCACCTCGCTATGTTCAGTCCTAAACAAAGGCGTGGGCAGCAGCTGGAGCTGGCTGTTCCCAGCAAGTGGACAGAATGAAGACACTAGGTCAGGGGTCCAAAGGTCTAGGTGAGGCTGGGCCAAGCCTTTCCTCATCTGTGGTCTCTCCCCAGACTACACAGATTCCAACACAGTGGGAAATGCTTTGCAAGCAAACATCTCTGGAATTACTAGCAGCAGTGAGGTCAGCTGGGAGTAACAAGGAAGCCCAGGGTTCCTTGCCAAGTACCAAGTCCGCCCAAGGCCAAGCAGGGACAAGGATGGAGATGGGCTGGGGCCACCCAAACCAACCAAATGGGGAACACCAGAACTGGATGGTTCCCTGTGTGACAGTGCATAACTCACGGTACCTCTCTGAGCCTCAAGACCCTAATCTACAGAAAAGGACTGCCGCGCGCCTCACGTGTCCTGGCTACTCCAGCTCCAGGGCACGGACGTTGGGGGCCAAGCAAGGTCTTTTCAAGTCCATCCACAACCTGGGCAGCCTAGGCCTCCAGGACCTGCCAAGCTGTCCCAGAGTCAACACTGGCTCCTTGGCTTTCTTACCTAATGAGCCCTGAAGCCCCTAAGAGCCTACAGATGGCCCTCCCCAGCTGGCAACCAGTTTCGTCCCAGAAACAGGAGGTGGCCAGTCTTCCCTTGTAAGATACCAGCCCATCGCTTTTACATCAAGAAGGCATATTGTCTATTCCCTCAGAGGCTTCCAGAGGCCAGTTCCTCCACTGAGCCTAGCCCAGGAGCTCCCAGTTGCAGCTCAGGGGTCAAAGGTCTGTCAGAGTGAGAATTCGGCTGAGCCCCACCCCAGGTGGGAGTGGGCATGCAGGCTGTGGCATGTGCCAGTGATTGGCCTTCACTTAGTCTGAGAGTCCTTGGACAGATAGGTGTGTGTGAAGGAGGGGTGAGAGGGCAAGAAGAGGCAGTCCTCTACTGGGGACTGTCCTTACTGGTCGGTTGTTTGTTTTGAGATTTTCCTAATATAGAATCACTGTAATGAATTTGAAAACAAGCCAGTGACAGTGAAAGCCCTTTTCTTACCCCTCCACCCCCAACCTGTGCTAACAGTTGGTGCACATCCATTCTGGTCCTTTGTGCAAACATATTTTAAAAAGATTAAAAAAAGCCCAGGACCATACTTGGCATGTTATGCTGCTTTTTCCACTTACTATATTGTGGTCATCTTTTCACACCAACACAGAAAGCTCTGACTGTTCTTTTCAACAACAGTAGGGTTTTTCCAGTTTACCTACTATTGTGAGTTAAACTGTGTGTTGTTCCCCATGCCCCCTCCCTCTCCTCCCTCCCCCTCCAACATATGTATCCACTTGGCTAGCTAAGATTCACACTATTATGGAACTAGCCTCCATTCTGTGATCTGATGTAATTATCCTCCGAGTTGTAAATACTCACCCCCATGTTAGTGAGGCAGGATTAGAGGCAGTTACGTTAATGAGGCAGGGTGCAATCTACAGGACTGGGTTGCACCTTGTGGCAATCTCTTTTGAGACAGAAAGGGGATTGAACAAGCAAGCAGAGATCAGAGGGCTCAGTACCACCAAGAAGAACTAGGAGAGGAATGTGTCCTTTGGGCCCGTGAAATATTACATTTACAACAATATTTATCACATATCATTCTATGATTCAAATAGCTAATAAACATTTTTTTTTAAATCACTGGAGCCCAAAGCTTCCCTAAACCAACCTCAAGAGAACTTGGGGACCCAAGCTATCAGCCCCTCCTTTCCCCCCCACAGACAGCATCTTGCTTACCTGAAACACATCTCCATTGATTGTTGTTCCCATGTCCTCAGAACCAGCTAGAAAGAGAACCAGGAGACAGCGTTACTTACTGCTTCGGTTGTAGAGCACACCGAATGATAGTACATTAGTATCCTCGGTGATGCACACACAGAGACAGACACGATGGAGACTTCCATCATGATTCAATCCTGGGCTGTTCACCAAGCCTTCCTCCAGCCACTGTCAGAGCTGATGTCCACTGCAGCTCTGTTATGAAGCGGTGGTCAACCCATTTTACAGCTTTTCAAGCTGAGGCTCAGAGAGGATAGGTGATTGCCTAAGGTCACCCAGCCTCCTTATCTATGTGGCTGACATTAATTTACCCACAGCGGAGCCTGAGAACGGCCTCTGTGAGGCCTCTGCCCGGTGAGTAGGCAGAGGAGCTGTAGGCTGAGGGCGGGCTCTGGAGGGCAGGGAAGAAAGGGGCCTGCTTGTCCCTGCCTGTCTCCGAGGTGCTTCAAGTAACTGCCCCATCAGGGAGAGCAGGAATCACAGTCCCCAACAGGCAGCACTTGTCCTATTTCTTCTCCTCCCACCCCCCAAAGAGGGTCTTTTGTTATCAGCAGTGACTCCTCCTGTCACTTCTCCTAACATCTGATTAGTCACAACTTCCTGTGATGCTCACAGCTGCTCTCTGGCTCCTGCCCTAGCCCCAGCCCCATGGATGGAGAAGTCGTGGGCTGTCTGCTCTGGTAGATTTGTCTCCTTATCAGTCTCCCCAGAGCCAGATGTAGTGTCGTGACTTACTAAGAGCTCAATAACTACGTGTGAAATAAATTAAGGAATGGGTGCATTAAGGAATGACTAAATGAACATAATGGTATTGTCCACCCACAGATCTCTGATTCCCATCTTCAGCCTCGCGATCACTTTCAAACCAATTGCCCTGGCCGATATTTAAAACATCCCAAAGGTAGATTTGCTTGGGCTACTCCTCTGATTAAAAACACAGTAAAAGCACACCACAAAGAATTTCACTTTCCATGGGCCCTACTTTGAGAACTTAGCAGGCACTATTCCCTCTGTCTAGAATGCTGTTCCATGCATTTCCATTGTGGCCCACTCTTCCACGCCCTCCAGCCTTATGGGGGACTTTCCTGGCCACTCCCTACAGTCACCCCTCTTCTGCCTCCCTCTTTCCCCCAAACCTGGCATGTTTATCTGAATCTATGTTTATGGTCTGTCTTCCCCACTTAAATGGCCCCTCCACAAAGGCAGGGTCTGGGCTCTGCCCACTGCTTGGTCCCAGCCCCTAGAACAGTGCCTGGCACACATCGGGGCTCAGTAAATATTGGCTGACTCAGGAGCACAAGAGGCTCCTCACAGTCTGGCCCTGCCCATTTGTCCTGCCTCCCTTCCCACCAGTCCTTCCCCAATCAGAAAACCCAAACCCACTGCCATCCACTCACCCACTAACTCACAGCGCCTCCGTCTAGGGTTGGAGACTAACTCTTTACGGGAGCAGACCACCTCATCTTCTCCTGACGAGGGACTCCCCACCTTGCAGTTAGCAGCCCAACAATTAACGCCCCCAACAGCCTGGTGTCTCCTTTCTCCAAGCACACACTCCACACCCCAAAGCATGGCTTCCTGCTTCCCCCTCCACAGGATGTTCTTTGGGGTCCCATTGTTCTCCAAGGCCCTGTTCAAAAGGCACCCCTACTTCCTTAGGGACAGACAGAAGGCCTCCTCTCTGGGGTCTCCGGAAATAGCAGACAGTATTCACTACCCCTCAGGGCGCCTTGTTTTCAGGGCCCTGAAGCTCCCTCCCAGAGCCTTGCACCTTTCTCAGCCCCTAAGGGCACCTTGCATAGGAGGGGCGAGCAGAACTGTTGGCAACTAAGCAAGTAGAAATGTTCTCTGGGGCCCACTGCAACCGACAGGCAAGACCGCTCAGAAACAGAAATGGCCCCAGCAAAGAGCCGCAGCAGGCCCCCCGGGATTACCGTGGAGGGACAAATAGCCCTTTCCCAGCGAGCAGCCACTACAATCCTTTCTGCCTGCTGACGGCAGGAGGGGGTTACTTAATCTCTATGGAAATACTTCCCAGTTAAGATGAGTTATTATTGACTTTGTTTTCCCAGTTGAACAGATTGATTCTGACCCACTATGTCAGCCAGCACCCCCACCCCCACACTCATTCTACCACAATAGAATGACAGATTCCTCCTGCATGGTGGCCTGGCCCCTCAGCAGGGTGGGGCTGGTGGAGAGGATGGTTTTGGGGGGACAGCATCTTCTAAGAGGGCCATCTTCTGGGGCACGTCCTCTACCAAGTCCAGCCTCACAATGAGGCCAGTGTGGAGGCTTGGCCTCTCTGGAACAGAAGCTGCACACCCATACACACCAGTCAGCACCAGTCAGGGGCGTCACCCGAGGACCCTGGTCTCCCTCAAGGAGTGCCCACGCACTTCAGCCTCAGACACTTTTAGGAATGCTCCCCCCCCCC